TGCCAGAGGGGCAGATTACCCCCACCTGTAGCATATCCTGGATCTCCCATTCTATAGCAGTTTTAGCTTGAGGAGACACCTGGTAGGGTGGACTTTCATTGGGTGAGCATTACTTAAGTCAATGGAGTGGTATGCCTGTTCAGTCAGTACTGGGGTGGCTGAGAACATCGGAGCGTAGCTAGTGCACAGCTCCTTGATCTGCTGTCACTGCATACACCCAAAGGTCATGGAGAGGTTCACCTCTTCCACGTCATCAGCACTTCTCCCTTCATAGTAGACCCCTTCAGGCCACTCAGCATCATCTCCTCCCTGGGCTGTAAACTGAGAAATCTTTAATTCTCTGGAATAAAAGGGCTTTAGAGAATTAATATGGTACACTTTAGGCTTTCGGTTGGAGGTGGGGAATGCTAGGAGATAATTAACAGCTCCCAGGCGCTCTTCGACCGTGAATGGCCCTTTCCACCACACTTCCATTTTATGGGCCTGGAGCACATTTAAGACCATGACCTGGTCCCTACATTGAAGGACCGCTCTCTGGCATGTTTATCATACCAGGCTTTTTGCTCTTTTTGAGCATCCTGTAGGTTTTTTTTAGCAAGGGCTAAAGAGGTTCAGAGGGTGTTTTGTAGGTTGCTTACAAAGTCCAGAATGTTAGTTCCTGGAGAAGGTGTAAATCCCTCCCATTGCTGCTTCACCAACTGTAATGGCCCCTTAACCTCACGGCCATATACAAGTTCAAATGGGGAAAACCCTAAACTGGGATGTGGTACAGATCTGTAGGCAAAGAGCAATGGCTGCCACAGTAGGTCCCAATCATTGGAGTGTTCATTTATGAATTTTCATATCATGGCCCCCAAGGTTCCATTAAACTTCTCCACCAAGCCATTTGTTTGATGGTGGTAAGGAGTGGCAACCAAGTGATTTACCCCATAAGCTTCCCAAACGCTTTCCATAATTCCTAACAGGAAATTAGTTCCTGCATCTGTGAGGATGTCAGAGGGCCAACCTACCCTGGCAAGAATGTCTGTTAGTGCCCGGCACACACTTTTAGCCCTGGTGTTGCTTAGAGCTACTGCTTCCGGCCATCGGGTGGCAAAATCCATGAAAGTCAGGATGTACTGCTTTCCTCTGGATGTCTTTTCCGGAAAAGGACCCAGAATATCCACAGCTACTCACTGAAATGGAACCTCAATGATGGGGAGTGGCTGGAGAGGGGCTTTGACCTAGTCTTGGAGTTTTCCCACTCTTTGGCATACCTCACAAGACCGGACATAGGTAGAAATATCCTTCCGCATTCCCTCCCAGTGGAATGACATCCCCAAACAGTCTTTGGTCCTGTTCACCCCAGCATGGCCACTAGGATGATCGTGGGCTAAGCTCAAGAGCTTGACCCAGTACTTAGTTGGAACTACCAACTGTCTCTGAGAATGCCAGTCTTCCTGGTGTCCACCAGAGAGAGTTTCCTTGTAGAAAAGTCCTCTTTCTACAACAAACCTGGATCAATTAGAAGAGCTGAGAGGTGGTGGGTTGCTCCATGCCACCATCCAAGCTCTCTGGAGGCTTTCATCTGCTTCTTGTTCAGTCTGAAACTGTTCCCTTGAGTTTGGAGACATCAGTTCCTCATTGGATTGTGGATCTGGGCTTGGTCCCTCTGGAAGCAATTCACATGATGGGGCTGTTTCTGTTGACTGTGAACCGCTCTCTGCTGGTGCACTATGTTGGGGTTCAGGCTCCGGCTGAGCGTCTTTAGTAGGGTTATCTGCTGCTGCCAGTACAGGCTTGGTCAGGCCCTCTGGTGTTGGGGTTGCAAGTACTGGAATCAGTGTTGGCAATGGGTCTGGTGCTGGTTGTATCGCCGGTTCCGGTTCTGCGACTGGCTCCGTCTGGGTCTCTGGGACTGGATCCACTGCTGCTGGTGCAGACGGTGGCCTGGGCTCCGGTTCCATCACCTCTGACCGGGTCCTGGTAGAAGTTTCCAGAAGAGAGCTAGGCGTGACAGCTTAGCCTGGCTGCGGGTGACCATTCCCACCCTCTTGGCTAGCTTCACTTGATTGGCAACAGCATGGGGATGGGATAATCATCATAGACTGCAAAAGTCCACGTTCCTGACCAGCCCGTGTACTGGACAGGCAACTTGGCTGTAGGCAAATTGAAAGAGTTGGACTTGAAGGGTTGAATCGTCACTTGGATCCCTGGGTTGATTAAATTCGGGTCCACTAAGGAAGCATGGATAGCTGACACTTGTGCTCCGGTGTCCCTCCACGCGGTGACCTTCTTCCCGCCCACACTCACAGTTTTCCTCCGCTCCAAGTGTATCTGGGAGGCATCTGGGCCTGAGGACCTCTGGTGTGATTCTGGTGCAATGGACTGTAATCTGTTGGGGTTCTTGGGGCAGTTGGCCTTTACATGCCCCGGCTCGTTACATTTAAAACATCGTCCAACTGATGGGTCACTGGGTTGAGGTGGGTTGCTGGAGAATGGTGTGGCGGGACAATAAGGTGTCTGGAGTGTTCCTTGTTGTGTAGTTGGGGCTTTGGGCGGCCCCCGGTAGTAGGGTGTGGTCTGAGGTTGTCCCTTCTGGTATCCGCTCCAACTACGAACAGTTTTTTTTTTTATTTCTGCCACCTCCACCCATTTGGCTCCAATCTCCCCCGCCTCAATTACAGTTTTGGGCTTACCATCTAGGATGCATCTTTCTATTTCCTCAAGAACACCCTCAGCCTACAGAAAAGCCTATTCTCAGCCTACAGAAAAAATCCTTTGTCTCCAGGCAAATAGACAGAAAAAACGCCTAGTTGCTCTTAGCTTAAATAAACAAACAAGAACAAAAAACCTCTTCAGGTCTGTGAAAAACTTGTGCATTCCCTGCAGGAGGTTAAGTACCCTGCACTGAGGTAGAGAAAACTCCTGCTCAAAAAAGACAAATCCCTTGGTTACGCTTGCTGCTCTGGCCCCCAGGCAGAGACAGGAATACTCTAATTGCTTTCAGCTTAAAACCTGTTTCCAAGCAGCCCAAAGGGGAAAAAATGTCCTTTTAAAATCCTATTGTGCTTCTGCTTCAAAATGATGAAAAAAAAATCTCAAAAGCATCTAAAAAAAAATCTTAAAATGATCCCACCGCTCTGCCACCATGTCAAGATTCCTTCCCCACTCTGAACTCTGGGGTACAGATGTGGGGACCTGCATGAAAGACCCCCTAAGCTTATTCTTACCAGCTTAGGTTAAAAGCTTCCTCAACATACAAACTTTGCCTTGTCCTTGAACCATATGCTGCCACCACCGAGCGTGTTAATCAAACAACAGGGAAAGAGCCCACTTGGAGATGTCTACCCCCCAAAATATCCCCCCAAGCCCTACAGCCCCTTTCCTGGGGAAGGCGGGATAAAAATCCTCACCAATTTGCATAGGTGAACACAGACACAAACGCTTGGATCTTAAGAACAATGGAAAAGCAATCAGGATCTTAAAAGAAGAATTTTAATTAAAGAAAAAGTAAAAGAATCACCAAGGTAAAATCAGGATGGTAAATATCTTACAGGGTAATCAGATTCAAAACATAGAGAATCCCGCCAGGCAAAACCTTAAGTTACAAAAAGACACAAAAACAGGAATATTCACTGCATTCAGCAGAGCTTATTTACCAGCCATTTAAAGAAAAGGAAATCTAATTTGGAATGGAAATGGGAATCTAACCATTTTGAGCTAGATTACTTAATAACAAGTTCTAATACTCCATTCCTGTTCTGTTCCTGGCAAAAGCATCACAGAGACAGACAGACAGACCCTTTGTTCCCGCACCCACCACTCCAGCTTTCAAAGTATCTTGTCTCCTCATTGATCATTTTGGTCAGGTGCCAGCGAGGTTATCTTAGCTTCTTAACCGTTTACAGGTGAAGGGGTTTTGCCTCTGACCAGCAGAGATTTTATAGTTCTGTATACAGAAAGGTGGTTACCCTTCCCTTTATATTTATGACAGTGTGCTTACATTTTCTTTTCTTTTGGTAACTACTCTGACTTTTTGCCTATCCCTTAATATCACTTAAAATCTGTCTTTGTAGTTAATACATTTGTTGTTTATACTAACCTGAAGCAGTGTGTTTGGTTTGAAGCATGACAGAGACTCCCCTTGGGATAAAAAGCCTGGTGCATCTCAATTTCTTTGTTAAATTGACAAACTCATTTAAGCTTGCAGTGTCCTGCGGGCATAGCTGGACCCTGCAAGAGGGAGGTTTCTTGGGTTGTGTCTGGGACTGGAGATATTGTCTAGTGTAATTCGGTTGCACAAGCCGAGGAGCAGCTTACATGCCAGAGACTGTGCGTGAACAGGCCAGGAGTGAGGTTCTCACAGCTGAGCAGAGGAAGGCTGGCTCCCAGAGTAAAGGATTGGGGTGACCTAACAGATCACCAGTCTAAATAACACCAGAGGGGAACATCAGAGGGTCGCAGAGCAGCATGTAGGTGGACAGGTGGGCAGTGCTGTTGAGATTATATTTTTCTTTGTGACTGTTGGTCCAAGGCCAGCTTTGGGACCTTTCTTGCTACAGAGTGTGTTTGGGGATTTTCAGGGTCTCTTTGCCCTGGCAATGTGACATTGGCAGAAACAATAGGCCTTAAGAGAAAGTGATCTCCCACCTGGTGAGCCTCCCTGGTAATGCTTCAGACAGACTCAACGTAATGGATGCTATGACTCTACAAGGCCATGTGACCAGGCCACATAACTCTGGACTCCATCTTGGGGAGTCTGTAATTTTCCCACAAACTAGTCTGGAAACCAAGTTTTGAAACAAAGGGTTCCCACCTTATGCTAAATCTGTAGAAAGTAGGGAGTGACATCGTTGGTGGTTCTTCACTCCTCACTCAAGAAGACTCCGAGAATGTTCATAACTATAACATATTTACCATATTATTTGTTTAAAAAGCATGTAACCCCCTTGCTGTGCTTTTCTCCCTTTACAGGCACCTTGAGCATTTCTGAGTCATATCGACGCATCAACCGCCTCATGGCAGCTCTTAACTTCACCAACTCTGATGCTTCAACTTTCATCCTAACGGGCATCCCTGGCCTGGAGGCTGCCCACATCTGGATTTCCATCCCTTTCTTTACATTCTACATTGTCAGCCTGTTGGGAAATGTCACGCTTCTGTCTGTCATAGCTAAGGAGCAGACTCTGCAGAAGCCAATGTACATGCTGCTCTGCATACTGGCACTTACAGACATTGCCACACCTACCTTTGTCGTGCCAAAGGCACTGGGCATATTTTGGTTCAACTTGAAAGGCATTACTGTGACTGGCTGCCTCACCCAGATGTTCTTTCTCCACACGGTTTCTGTTACGCACTCAGCCACCCTCGTGACAATGGCCTTTGATCGCTATGTTGCCATATGTAACCCTCTGAGATATGCCACCATCCTCAGCAATGCACAAATAGCTAAGCTAGGATTTGTAGGTTTGATAAGAGCTGTTCTCTTCATTCTGCCCCTACCCCTGCTCCTGAGTCAGCAGCCATTCTGTGCCAACCGCATTATCCCACACATGCAATGCGAGTACCTAGCTGTGGAGAAGATGGTGTGTGGGGACCTCACAGTCACCAGGATATACGGCTGGGTGCTAATGTTTGTGATCAATGGGTTTGACCTGACGCTCATTGCCCTGTCCTATGGTCTGATCATCAGGGCCGTCCTCAGAATCTCCTCTAACAAAGCCCACCAGAAAGCCCTCAACACTTGCACAACCCACATCTCTGTGATGCTGACATATTATATTCCTGGACTCTTCTCCAGTCTCACAAACCAATTCGGTCAAGGCATCGCTCCCTATGTTCGCATTGTTTTGGCTGACCTCTATCTCCTCATCCCTCCCATGCTCAACCCTATCATTTATGGGGTCAAAACCAAAGAGCTTCATGACAGAGTAGGCAAATACACCTGCCAAAGGTGATTACCTGGGGCTACTGACTTGAAACCTGTGTGACAAGGGGAGGAAAGCATATCTCCTCATTAATCAAGGGTGCAGTGTCCCAGTTTGGTAGAGCTAACCATTGTGGAAGTTCACAGTCTGAGAATTTCCTCCCAACCAACATCTTATCACTCCATCACTAAGCAGTGCTCTTTCCACTGCTGAGTTACCTGTCTCTGACCATCACTTGACCTCTTTATTGTCACCCATCAGCCTCCCTGCTCACACACTCTGATACTTAGCCTTTCCGTAACTCTAAGGCTATATCCATACAACCACACTGTCCACCTACTCATCGTGTCAACCTACTCTATGCAACTCCAGCTACATGAATAAGGCAGCTGAAGTCGATGTACCTTAGGTCAAGTTACAGCGGGTTCTACATTGTGGGGAGGTGGAGAGGGGGCTGTCAATGGAGAAAATCTCCTATTGATTATGTTACTCTTCTTCTTGGGGGTCAATTGCAGAGTGATATGCTGTCGAGTTGGCGGGTCTTCACTAGACCTGCTAAATCGACCGCCGGTGGATTGATCTCAGATCATCGATCCCAGTTGTAGTGTAGACCTGCCCTAAGACTACCATAAGACACTGTAGCATTTTGATGCAAAGTAGTTTTCCATTAGTCCCTCTGTGGTAATTGTTCTTGTCCAGTTTTACAAACAAACGTTACACTTTCAGATAGCCAAAGAGAAAAAGAAAGAAAAGGCAATGTTGAAGTTCTTTATCATATGGACAGTGATTTGCTGAGCAAAATGTACGTGTTTTTTCTATGTTGAATCCATCACAAATCCTGGAGGATAGTGCTAATGTTTCAGTGGGAAAGTCCAAATACAGGAAAGCTGCTATAGGAATTGAGGGCATTGAACCAGAGTTTACTGGTGAGTGTTAGTAAATGGTGTGTTTTTGAGAACTGGACTGCTGTTTTTAACTACGACATCACCTTTAAGTAAAAATAATGTACTGCTTTTTGCAGGTTTCAGAGTAACAGCCGTGTTAGTCTGTATTCACAAAAAGAAAAGGAGTACTTGTGGCACCTTAGAGACTAACCAATTTATTTGAGCATAAGCTTTCGTGAGCTACAGCTCACTTTGTTGGGTGCATACTGTGGAAAGTGTAGAAGATCTTTTTATATACATACAAAGCATGCATCCGATGAAGTGAGCTGTAGCTTATGAAAGCTTATGCTCAAATAAATTGGTTAGTCTCTAAGGTGCCACAAGTACTCTTTTTCTTTCTGCTTTTTGCAGTTGTTTTTGAAGTCAATTTTGGAGTGGAAGAGACTATGAACTTTGCTTGCATTCTAGAGAGGACTCTTTGTGACATCCCCATGCACACAGAGCAGGGTTTCTTGTTTCCGTGAACCTTTCCCTTTTTTTGGATGATTATTCTTATATTTGCTGTTTAATAAATTATATTTGGATTGAACTTAACTTAGTGATCAGGGGGTCAAGGAATCATCCACTGTGCAGCTCAAGCTGCAGTGGGGGAGGTTTAGATTGGATATTAGGAAAAACTTTTTCACTAAGAGGGTGGTGAAACACTGGAATGCGTTACCTAGGGAGGTGGTAGAATCTCCTTCCTTAGAGGTTTTTAAGGTCAGGCTTGACAAAGCCCTGGCTGGGATGATTTAACTGGGAATTGGTCCTGCTTCGAGCAGGGGGTTGGACTAGATGACCTTCTGGGGTCCCTTCCAACCCTTATATTCTATGATTCTATGATTCTATGAAGGGAGTACCCTGGAGTGGGGACACTCTAGCTCCTATCCTAAGTGACCATAGGAGAATGGAAGGGGAGTCCTTGATGTCAGGCAGGCCTGTGGGAAAAGGGAGTGTGAGTTTTGACTCATAGCCTTTCCTAAGCAAATTCCTCTGTGGTAATGCAAAAGCCAGGAAAGTTCCCCATAATACTTCCCCACTTACATTAGGGAACTAGGACAAACAGATGGGTTGGATTTTAGTGATGGGTAAAGAGATGTGTAACTTGTGAATTCTTCATAGAAATGATACAATCTGAAATGCGTAACTTTGGGGAGCACACTTTCTGCGTAAGGTGAACGTAACATCACTGCACAAGATTGCTTCCCAGAGACTGGTATCATATTGTACCTATTGGGTTCTGGGAAATGGACAGGTGGGAGCCAGCCCACTGCATGAGAACCCCTCCACCACCCTGTAGCCTGAGGGGAGGATCTACAGGACCTGGAAACCAAATGATTCCATGGGACAACTAATGAAATAACAGGGACAGGAGTGTGGTCAAAGGGTCAAAAGAAGGGATCCTGATGGGGACACAGAGCAGAGGACCCCAGACAGCTCCCACTGCTCCTCAAATACGTTAAGGGAGCCAGTGGACACCGCCCAGAGGAACTCTGCCCGGATATATGAGTCACAGGAGTCTCTATCGGCCAACCTCCTCTCCCTGGTTTTATAGATGGCCATTTTGGACAGGGCCAGGAGGAGTCTGACCAGGAGGTCCCGGTGACTTTGTGGGGCCACAGACAGGGAGTGCATGGAGTAGGAGGTGAGGGGAAAAGTGCAGCCAGAAACATAACAGGATATTTGTGTCGGGGCGGAAGACGAGGGTGAGGAAGTAAAGGGTGTGGAGGACGAGCGTGTACAGGTGTTTCCTTGGCGCAGTCTGGAAACAAACTGGCTGCAAGTCATGGAGCCGGCTCATGGAGAAGGGGCGGGGGACTGTTTGGGTCCACGGGGCAGGGGTCTGATGAAAAGGTCCGGAGGGCCTGTGGTGGTGGGTGGACAGGGCGTGCCCAAATGCAGGACCAGGTCGAGGTAAACCCGAGCAGTGGGTGGTGAAGCGGCCCTCACCTCCTGAAGTACGGGCCGGGGAGTACAAGTCCTGGAGAGCCGTATACGCTGAGCGAGCATCAGGGGATGCAACCAGTCTCCCCGGTCGTAATCCAGGAGGTCTCCGACTCTGGTGACTTCTGCCAGGACCAACCTCTGGCGCAAAGAGGGGGACTCTTCCACCTGCACACAGAGCTGGGGGTTGTGTAGCAGGGGCTCTGTGAGGAGATCTGCCCCCTCAGTGGCCACCATGGACTTGGTCACAGAGAACAATTTTCAGGTCCAGAGGAGGTCCTGGTAGAAGACCGGCAGCATGGAGAGGTCTCGCAGAAGACCTCTCAGATCAATATAAAAGAGCTGCTCTTCGTATTGGAGCCCTCAGAAGCGACTCAGGAAGGTGTGAGACAGTACTCTCCATGCCAGACTACCTGCACCATAAAGGAGCCTCTGCAGGGCCTGGTTGCGGAAGACATGGACCTGAGTGTGTAGGCACTTCAGACTCTGCCTTCCCTCCTCCAGGGGCAGATGGAGGACCCCTGCAGAGACCCAGTGCAGTCCTGGCCAAAAGAACTCCAGAATCCCCGTCTGGAGGTCTGCCAGGAAGCCTGGGGCCGGGACCAGGGTGTTGAGCCAGTACCAGAGCATGGACAGGACTAGTTTTCATAGATTCATAGATTCATAGATATTTAGGCCAGAAGGGACCATTATGATCATCTAGTCTGACCTCCTGCACAATGCAGGCCACAGAATTTCACCCACCACTCCTAAAAAAGACCTCACACCTATATCTGTGCTATTGAAGTCCTCAAATTGTAGTTTGAAGACCTCAAGGAGCAGAGAATCCTCCAGCAAGTGACCCGTGCCCCATGCTACAGAGGAAGGCGAAAAACCTCCAGGGCCTTCCAATCTGCCCTGGAGGAAAATTCCTTCCCGACCCCAAATATGGCGATCAGCTAAACCCTGAGCATATGGGCAAGATTCATCAGCCAGATACTACAGAAAATTCTTTCCCGGGTAACTTGGATCTTACCCCATCTAAAAACCCATCACAGGCCATTGGGCCTATTTACCATGAATATTTAATTACCAAAACCATGTTATCCCATCATACCATCTCCTCCATAAACTTATCGAGTTTAATCTTAAAGCAAGATAGATCTTTTGCCCCACTACTTCCCTCGGAAGGCTATTCCAAAACTTCACTCCTCTGATGGTTAGAAACCTTCGTCTAATTTCTAATCTAAATTTCCTAGTGGCCAGTTTATATCCATTTGTTCTTGTGTCCACATTGGTACTGAGTTTAAATAATTCCTCTCCCTCTCTGGTATTTATCCCTCTGATATATTTATAGAGAGCAATCATATCTCCCCTCAACCTTCTTTTAGTTAGGCTAAACAAGCCAAGCTCCCTGAGTCTCCTTTCATAAGACAAGTTTTCCATTCCTCGGATCATCCCAGTAGCCCTTCTCTGTACCTGTTCCAGTTTGAATTCATCCTTCTTAAACATGGGAGACCAGAACTGCACACAGTATTCCAGGTGAGGTCTCACCAGTGCCTTATATAATGGTACTAAAACCTCCTTATCCCTACTGGAAATACCTCTCCTGATGCATCCCAAGATGACATTAGCTTTTTTCACAGCCATATCACATTGGCAGCTCATAGTCATCCTATGATCAACCAATACTCCAAGGTCCTTTTCCTCCTCCGTTACTTCTAGTTGATGCGTCCCTAGCTTATAACTAAAATTCTTGTTATTAATCCCTAAATGCATGACCTTACACTTCTCACTATTAAATTTCATCCTATTCCTATTACTCCAGTTTACAAGGTCATCCAGATCCTCCTGTAGGGTATCCCTGTCCTTCTCTAAATTAGCAATACCTCCCAGCTTTGTATCATCTGCAAACTTTATTAGCACATTCCCACTTTTTGTGCCCAGGTCAGTAATAAAAAGATTAAATAAGATTGGTCCCAAAACTGATCCTTGAGGAACTCCACTGGTAACCTCCCTCCAACTTGACAGTTCACCTTTCAGTAGGACCCGTTGTAGTCTCCCCTTTAACCAATTCCCTATCCACCTTTCAATTTTCCTATTGATGCCCATCTTATCCAATTTAACTAATAATTCCCCATGTGGCACAGTATCAAACGCCTTACTAAAATCTAAGTAAATTAG